GAATGTTAGAAATTGTAAGCATTGTGTAAAGAATATGGATCTACCTGAGATGGAATCGTGACTCTGCCACTAATGAGCTGCTTGTTCTTAGCTAAGTTATTGTAACTCTCTGAGCCTCATTTCAAGAAGGAAAGCCCTAATGCATGTATTGTAGAGCAGTACACACACACACACACACACACACACACACACACAGAGCTGATCCTTAAACAACATGGGTTTGAACTAAGATCCTCTTTTACATGGATTCTTTGTAGTACAGTATTGTAAATGTATTTTCTTTATGATTTTCTTAAGAATATTTTCTTTTCCCTAGCTTACTTTATTGTAATAATACAGTGTATAATACATATACAAAATATGTTTTAATTATGTTGTCAGTAAGGCTTCTAGTCAACAGTAGACTATTAGTAGTTAATTTTGGGGGGGGGTCAAAAGTTATATGTGGATTTTAGACTGAGTGGGGATTGATGTCCAAACCACCATGTTGTTTCTGGGTCAACTGTATATATATCAAATATGTTTTTATCCATCTTTTTGTATCTATATTTTGCAGTCAGTTTCAAACATATAATGGATTTATAATACTTGGTTGTTGGTGTTAAATGTTGTAGTCAATTTAGTAATAACTCAGAAATATTCACTGATAACAGCATAATTTTTCACCATTAGGATCCAGGAAGAGAATGGAAATGAGTAAGTTACAAATGGTAATCATATACTGAAGAATGAGGAGGACTTAAAGAGCCTAGCGATACTGAAAAGGATATTTAATAGAGGGAGAGGAAGGAAAATTTAGAAAGAAAGAAAAATGGACCAGAGAAGAGGTTCTAGAGTCCCAGATTTGAAATGAAGGAATTTTATGGGATGTCTGTATCTGAAGGGATGGTTTTCTGGTGATTGGCTAAAGAGCTTATATCAGCACATTCTATTATGTCAATAGAGTTTCCATAAAGAGCAAGTGCCTTTCTGTCTTGGGGTTTTCCCTTGAATCATAAACTAACTAATCCTGGCTCCTTCCTCACAATAGCACACACAACATTTGCTATCAAAAATGTTCTTCATCCCACTCACTATAAGTTACATGTCTCCAATTTTGCTTGCTGCCCTCAGTCACATCCAGATCCTTTCACTACTGTCCTTATTTAGCAAGTTTTTAAACAATTCCTCCTCTTTTACCAATACAATATTAGATAGTGGTCTGCTCTCTATTGACTATATTCCCCTATTCCTTGTTTCTTATCTTTCTTTTGTATTTATGGGCATTCTTTTCAAGCAAATAAGCCATTTTTTCTTTCACATAGAAAGGGAGTCCATACAGATAACTATATTTTACAAAGCATTGTAAAGAGTGATTGAAAGAGTATCAGTGAGGGGGCTTCCACTGTCTATTGACCTTAAGGTTATAGGGTTAGAGTTGTGATTCAGAGAACACAAAACTGCTCCTCTGCAACTGAACTGTCTTACACCCATGAAGCAGTAGTCAGCCACCTCATATACCTCCATTCTTGTTTGCCAGTAGCCCAAGCAGCCAAAAGATAGCTTTTGTCCTACTTCTGCCTTCAAAATCTCATGTAAATGTTTCCCCACTGGATTGTATCTAATCACATTCAGAATACCAGCTGTGTCTTGGAAATATAATTGTTAATTTTTCCTTTTCTGACATATAAGAAGTTGCATATAAATTACTGGAACTGAAGACAAACAGCAATAAAACATATTAAATACACTCCTCATGTCTTTATGGCTTTTTGTTGTTGCTGTTATCTAGCTTAGATTATATAGTCCACTTCTATAATCTTTTTCTTGATGCTGTCATAGACCATGTCCATGTTCAGTGCTCAGAAACCTTGATTTGACTTGATGGCACATTAAGAAATAAAAAATGGAAGATACGTTAAATAACTCGTTCAGCAAGTAATTTCTTAAAAGGCGTTACAGTGGACATTTCAGTGGTGATGCACCTCTTCCCATGCACACCAGTTTAAAGTCAGTTATGGGTTCTGTGATTTGGTAGATATTTCAGTCTACATTGGCTGTTGAAACTTCCAAAATTTGGGTATGCCTATATAAGGAAGAAGGTAAGTGCCAGGAAGCCACTTAACGCATTCTCTTGATCTCTATCTATTGTTTTCTTTGCTTGTTCACATATTTGACAATAATACAAAGTGGAAGTATAGTTAGCCAAGTCTGAGTTGTCATTATACCCAATTTGTAAACTTACACCAGCCTTTGCAGTATAGCTTAGTTCATATATAACCTAATTCCTTGAATAGTTCCTCTTTCCCATCTTTTTTTTCTGTCATTCTTCCCTGGCAAAATTGGGATCCTAGTTAAACTCAGTCCTCCCATTTATTCTGCCCTTGCATATAACCTGTCTGCTCAGTATCTATACTTGGAAGTTGTAGGCAGATTATTAAAGGATGTGCTCCTCAAGATTTCCATCCTCTAGTTATTTAACCAAATACTAATCTAGGTACATCTGCAAAAGGACTTTTCAGGTGTTACTAAAATATATATCTTTAAACATAGAGCTTGGGGCGCCTGGGTGGTGCAGTCGGTTAAGCGTCCGACTTCAGCCAGGTCACGATCTCGCGGCCCGTGGGTTCGAGCCCCGCATCAGGCTCTGGGCTGATGGCTCAGAGCCTGGAGCCTGTTTCCGATTCTGTGTCTCCCTCTCTCTCTGCCCCTCCCCCGTTCATGCTCTGTCTCTCTCTGTCCCAAAAATAAATAAACGTTGAAAAAAAAATTAAAAAAAAATAAATCAACATAGAGCTTATCCTGGATCACTTTGGTAGGCTGAATATAATCATGTGAGCTCTTAGAAAGTAGAAAAAAATTGTCTGGGAGGAGTCAGAGAGATGTGGCAGGAGTTGAGACAAAAGAGATATGTAGGAGAGATGAATGAACCTTGAAACATTCTCCCCTAGAGCCTCCAAAAGGAATGCAGCTTTGCCAGTAACTTTGACTTCAGCCTTGTGAGACTCCAGGCAGAGAACCTAGTTGAGCCTTGTTATTTTGTAGACTTCTAGTCTGTAGAACAGTGTGATATTGCATTTGCATTATGCATTTTTATTGTTTTGAGATGCTGTTTGTGATAATAATGTTATTGCAGCAATAAAAAATAATACAGAAGTTGGAGATATCAAGCTTAACATATCCAGTGCCGAACCATGATATTCCAAATCTTTAAACTATGATTCCTCTCTAATCTTACCTCTCTCACTGAATGGCACCATTATTCACATGCTTGCTTGGGCCCAACATATCATAGTTATTTCTAGATTATTTCTTTTCCTTTAAAACCCAGGTCCAAAAACATAAGAGACTCTTAAATATGGAGAACAAACAGAGGGTTACTGGAGGAGTTGCGGGAAGGAGGATGGGCTAAATGGGTAAGGGGCATTAAGGAATCTACTCCTGAAATCATTGTTGCACTATATGTTAACTAACTTGGATGTAAATTAAAAAAAATAAATTTAAAATAAAAAAGTAAAATCCAGGTCCAACACTTCATAAAATACTTTCGAATATATATATGTATATATATATTTTTAGCTGTTTCTATGTCTGACTACTTCTCCCCTTCTTCATTGATCCCGCCCTAGTCTAAGCCACCGTTCCCCACCAGGATTCTTGAAATAGCCTCTACTATTGTTCTCTTTACAGTGTGGTACTCAGCAGACAGATAAAATTTTGAAAATGCTTATTGGAATATGTTGTTCCTTTATGTAAAGCTCCAATGACCTCTCATACATTTAGGATAAAATTCTGATCCTAGGTCCTTTATGATGTGGTCTATCTCTGCCCTTCTGGTAGTATTTCCTTTCAACTCTCTTCCTTTCTCACTAAGTGTGAGCCACATTAGCATTCTTCTGGTCCTCTTGCACAAAAAATTCACTGTTGCTTCAGACTTTTACATGTTGGATCCCTTCTGCCTTCAGTACGCTTTCTTTACATCTTTGAATACTTAACATTCTTGAAGTCTTTGCTTAAATACTACTTTATCAGAGAGGTTCTTTCTGATTATCTCAGATAAAACGAACTATCAATACCACTTTGTATCTTTTTACCTTTCTTTCTTATTTTTCAAAGCACTTCTCATTTCTTACATATACATGTATTTACTTTTTTTTTTTTTTTGTCATATTTGAATGGAAGCTCCAGGAAGGTAGTGACTTTGACAGCTTTCCTTATTGCTGATTACTTAACTACTGAAAGAGATTCTGTATCACAGTAGATTCTCAAGAACTACTGTGGGATTAAAGATAAAATTAAGCACATATAAACAAATTAATGCTTAAAATAGCTATCTTTGAGTAATTTTGATTCATGTGATTGTTGACAATGTAAGTAGTTGTTTTTTGAAAAGAAAATTACTTTAAAAGTCAAAAATGTATGAAAGATATAGTGTTCATGATATAATGAGGCCATTTCTGAAATAGTCATAATACTTTCGATTAAAACCTTAACTAATAGTTGGAAGCAATGGAAACTTTGGAGTCTCAGCCATCAGCCTTTCATTATTGATTTCTGAAACCATCATCTATCTGTTCCTTAACTTGGAAAATGATTTTTCATATCAGATTCCAAGACTTGTGCCCCATAGTTCACTTAGGTATTTTGGTTTGCTAGAAAGGCATTTTTACTCTGGAATTGAGCAGATAATATGAAAGCTTATTTATAATTAATGATCTTGTGGTACTCAGGAATATTTCAGGGAGAATGCTGTGGGGAGAGCTAAGATTATTTGAATATCTACTAATATGTTATTTTGTGTTTTGTAGTTGTATGATGGGTTGTGGTACTCAAGAGAGCATCTTGTTGCCTAATCTTACAGCTCCGTCACTCTAAGTACAAGTCCAGATATCTCACTGTATTTTCCCCTAATTACCTCTTTAACTTCATGTTACAAGGCCAGGCTTCTGGCAGTACTAATCTTCATTGGGCAGAAAAGGGGGGACAGACCCAGGGTGCACATGACCACACTGGAGGTTTCATATTGTTGCTCAACTCTTTATTTTCACTTTGTTGTCATAATGTTTATGTGGGTTGTTTTATAGTTTCTTTCTAAGATTATTCCTCCCAAAGGTTAGAGCTTATGGAATATTTCATTCTCATCCAAAAATTGAAATGAGTCTATCTAAAAAGGTCTTGAGACTTGTCTTTTGGGAAGTAGAAGTGGTAGTTGTCTCTTGGGGAAGAGGAGCTGTCGTTGTCTCTTGGGGAGTAGATGTGGTTGTTGTCTCTTGGGGAGGAGAAACTGTTGTTGTCTCTTGGGGAGTAGAAGCAGTCGTTGTCTCTTGGGGAGTAGAAGCAATAGTAGTCGCTTGGGGAGTAGAAGCAGTTGTCTCTTGGGGAGGAGAAGTGGTCTTTGTCTCTTGGGGAGGAGAAGCTGTCATTGTCTCTTGGGGAGTAGAAGCGATGGTAGTCTCTTGGGGAGTAGAAGTGGTCTTTGTCTCTTGGGGAGGAGAAGCTGTCATGGGAGTGGCAGAGTCCGTTTGGGTGGTAGTGGGGTCAGTTGTGGTTGTAGCGGAACCTGTTGTTGTAGTAGTTTGTATTTGGGGTGTGAGGACAAAAGGATACATCAGAGGGAATCTAGGGATGAATGGAAATCGAATTAGATAACGTCTTTGTTGGAAAGCTGGATATGGATAACCTGGGCCATTGGGGAATAAAGGAGGAGATGGTGGAATTCTCCCGGGGCCAAAAACCTGAGGAGGGGGTGGTGGAATTCTCCCGGGGCCAAAAAACTGAGGAGGGGGTGGTGGAATTCTCCCTGGGCCAGAAGGTGGAGGAAGGCGTGGAGCAAATCCTGGACCAAAAGGAAACCGTAGAGGAGGAGGAAGCAGTGGCCTAGGTGGATATCGTCTCCTGGGACCTCTGTGACTCTCACCAGGCTGTGGGAAAACAGAAGTGAACAATTTTTAATTAGGTATTTCTAGGTTAAGCATAAGAATGTATACTCTCTGTGGCAGGCAGAATTCTAAGATGGCTTCCAAGATTCCTGCCCCCTGCTGGCATATACTGGCATAACCTTATCGGGTGAGTCCTTTTAAAATGGGTTCTGCAGGTCAGACAAATTCAGAGATTTGAAACTGCGGTGCTCTCCTATTGGCTTTGAAGCAAAAAAAAATGTGTTGTGGAGAGGACCACATGGAAGTAGATGGTAGTAGCGGGCCCTGTGGCTCATAGCCTGCAAAAAAGTAAGGACCTCAGTCCTATAAACAAGGGACTGAATTCTGCCCACAGCCACCCAAATTGGAAAAGAGGTCCCTGAGCTCCAGAAAAGAATACAGTCCTGACAATACCTTTTCAGTCCTGGGAGACCCTGAGCAGAAAATTCAACCAAGCCAAGGCCAGAGTCTGACCAAAGGAACTGTGGGATAATAAATGCATTTTTTCCCAAAGCTACTAGTTTGTGGTAATTTGTTATTTAGCAATAGAAAACTCTTACATACACATCTAACTTACACAGTCTGAAAGTTTGTCTCAGAGAAAGGGAAGAGTTCTCTTTCACCCTCTGAATGCCTAGGCTCTTAAATGAAAGCTGAGGTAGTTTTGATGGGGAAAAAGATCGTGAGTAAAATCATGTCCTATGTTTTTGGTAGAGCCTGTGATTGGAATCAATTCCAAATGAGGAAAATGTCTCTTTATATCTCATTCAAGCGTTTGGGATTATTTCAGGCTTTGAACACTAATAAACGGTGAAACACGTTATTGAGCACTTATTTTGTGCAGTACACTAAAGTAGGAGCTGTGGGCATGCAGACATGCCTTTTGTAAGTCTACAGACCAAGTGGTTACAGTACAAGACAGTACAAAATGGCCCAAATGGAAGGAGAATGATAGTTCGTCGAGTGTAATGCCAGGGTTTGAATTCTGCCCCTGCTACTTAGAGACTGTGTGAATGTTGGAATCCTTTTTGAGACTCTCTTTCCTCATCTGAAAAATGATGTTCATAATAGTACCCAACACCTACCTTTTTTTTTTTAATTTTTTTTTAATGTTTATTTATTTTTGAGACAGAGAGAGAGAGACAGATCATGAATGGGGGAGGGGCAGAGAGAGAGGGAGACACAGAATCGGAAGCAGGCTCCAGGCTCTGAGCCACCAGCCCAGAGCCCGACGCGGGGCTCAAACTCCCGAACTGTGAGATCGTGACCTGAGCTGAAGTCAGACGCTCAACCGACTGAGCCACCCAGGCGACCCCCTTTTTTTTTTTTTTTTAATGGTAGTCATGTTTATTTCTGAGTATTGAGATTATGGGTAGTTTTAAATTCATTTTTGTAGCTTTGTAAAGTTTAGAAACACTTTTACAATTTATGATCAGAATTTTTCCCTTTTTTAATGTGGGATGTTTCAGAAACCCCCCTCCCATGCCAAATTCAAGTTTGAGACAACTCTGAGGTTGTCTGAGATTTGAAGTGGGTGAGATGTCTCAGATTTGAGTCAGATTTGTTGTGAAATATTACCTGTAAAGTGCTTCGGGCGAAGGCTGGCCCAGTTACTGTGCTCAATAAATGTTACATACTACTATTTGTTATGTTAACACTAGTACAGTGGTTGCAGTTTTTGGAAGTAAAAGTAGTTGAAAAATAGTGTGGGAAACAAATACATTAGAGATTTAGAGCGATTGGTTTAGGAAAGATTAAGGATCATTGAACCGAGAAGGCAGACTTTGAAAGGAAGTCAAAATAACAAAAAATGGGGAGAGAGCATGCTGAATGGAGTGCGAATATGCCTGTTCTGTAGCGTAAGAATGCACAAGTCCTGTTCTGCTGAGGACTTATGTCAGACACAGGTGTCTGCATTTCCCTCGTTCTGTTCTTAGGTCCTCCATGTATTTGTTCATGTGGCATTTTGCTCTTGCAAATTCTAAACTTTATGATTATTTTGTCTTCTGAATCATCTGTCTCCCTGATTCCCAATTACAGGTTTTTGAGCAGTGGCAGCAGATGTCGGAGGTACTGAGCCATCACCCATTTACAGTGCCTTAGCACTGCCCTGTGATCTTTTCAAGCATCTCAGGTTAACTGAACCTTATTCCCCAGAGGCTTATAATTTTCTAAGTTTATGCCAATTTTATTGAAGTTCTCTACCTCTTCCTGACCCTCAGTCACCCCACCAGGATGATTTTCCTTCTACTCCAAAATAATGCAAGAAATTAGAAATGAACTTCACCAATATACTGGCCACACAACCACAAAGTTATTAAAATCTACATATTTCCTTTTCCTTTACAAGTATTTTCTCAGAGCTCTGTCAATTTTCCCGTTTCTTCCCCCTGCACTTTAATATGTGTCTTTTAACTGACTTCTTTTCCTTAGGAAACAACTATCATTTATGTTCAGTTTACCTTTTTTTTTTATTTATTTATTTTTGGGACAGAGAGAGACAGAGCATGAATGGGGGAGGGGCAGAGAGAGAAGGAGACACAGAATCGGAAACAGGCTCCAGGCTCTGAGCCATCAGCCCAGAGCCTGACGCGGGGCTCGAACTCACGGACCATGAGATCATGACCTGAGCTGAAGTCGGACGCTTAACCGACTGCGCCACCCAGGCGCCCCTCAGTTTACCTTTTTAAAGAGTCTACTTTCAACCATGAATTCCCTTATTGCTATCACTGTCTTTTCACCTCTTTCCTTTACAACAAAGCTATGATTTGGAGTTAATTTCTTGTATTAGTTTAAGAACAATCCAGCTAAAACATGGATACTTTGAATCTAAATTTATCTATATTTTAATGGGATTAAGAGTAGTCCCTTTGTCAGATTTGCTTTGAGGATTAAGTGGGATAATGTCTGTAAAGCATTGGGAAAATTACCTGTAACAGAATGAAGACCCAATATTACTACTTACCCTGCTATATAAAAAGGATATTCTACTCTGTGTTTCTGTATTTCGGTAATTATTAACCATGATGAATCTCATGCAATTAAGTTGGTGAAAGGCCTATTTCTATTTAAACTGCTTATGCTTTGGGAGTGAGGAGAGAGACATCTTGATGACCTGTGTGGCTCTCTTTCTTCCCCCTTGTAGAAGTGGGAAAGGAGAAGGTTCAGCAGGTCTGTTAGATTAGTAAAGAACAGACTGAGACCAGTGCTGAGTGCCGAAGACGGCTCCTTCCTTTTGTAGAAGACCTCTATCTGATTAAGGAAATTTCCTTCAATCCTGTTTGCTAAGAGAGTTTTTAAAATAATGAATGAATGTTAAATTTTACTAAAAAATTTTTATAAAATAAAAATAAACTACTTATGCTAAACTGCTTGTATTATTGGAACTCTCAAGTTTATTTTGCAAAAAAAAAAAAAAAAATCATTGTTACATAATCAAAGCCTAAACCTTTAAAATAACGTGTGTTTCTCTTATATTCTGAGGACATGAAAATATTGAAAGTCAGCTTTAGGATGGGGTCAGTAAGGCATAATATCACTTTTAAATATGTCAGTATGTTTTATTGGTTTATCAAAAATTATGTCACATTTATAGTGCACTTACATGGTCAAGGTCAGACTACCTGAATGACCTATTTAATTGCCTCCTTTTGTTCAAGTTTCTGAGAGTAGATGGAAGAAGCATTGTTTCATGTTTCAGAATAAGTTTATGTTGTCTGCTTTGTAGAAGTCCTAGGTTTCTGAAAAAAAAAAAAACCCAAAACTTTTTTTTTTTCCATTTGATGTTAGATTTTACAGTTCTTTGGTAGAAATTACTATGGAATTAATCTCTTCCCAAACTGGAGTTAATCTATCCCTGTTTTGAAGTTATCATTTTAATATTTAAAAAGACAAAAACCTGTGGCTTTTTAAAAAAATCTCTTGCAACTTTGAATGTTTAGTAACTTCTGTGGTGCTTCACCCAGTCCTTTATACATGGTGGGTGTTAAAATAAACGTCTGTAGCCCCTGAGTCCATGGCAAAATGCATATTCCCAGGTCCTACTCTCAGACACTCTTATTTTGGGATAAGGCCTGGAATACTCTGTTTTTAATAAATGAGTCAAATAACTTTGATTTAGATGACACATGAACCCCATGTTGAGAAAAACTGCTCTAAGTATCTCATTTTATAGATAAAGAAATAGTTCCAATAACGTTCAAAGATATTCAAATAATGTCTTTAAGTATATAGGATCAAAAATCTGCAATAAATTTGCTTTACCTACTTGTGAAATTGCTTATATATGTAGGAACCCATATTTATACATGTCTGTATAATGCAGTCTGATATTATGGATCTAAATTATCCAACATGGTAGCCCTGAGCCATGTGTGGCTATTTAAATTAGATTTTATTGTTTTAAAAAAATGTTTACTTACTTATTTTGAAAGAGAGAGGGAGAGAGACAGAGAGAGAAATTGAGAGAGAAGAGAAAGAGCCTGAACAGGGTAGGAGCAGAGAGAGAAGGAGAGAAAGAATCCCAAGCAGATTTCACACTGTCAGAGCAGAGCCTGACGCGGGGGTCAACCTAACAAACCACAAGATCGTGACCTAAGCTGAAATCAAGAGTTGGTCACTTAATTGACTGAACCATGCAGATTCCTTAAATTAGATTAGATTTTAAATTTAAATTTAAATTTAAATTTAAATTTAAATTTAAATTAAAGCCTTAGAACAGTGTTTCATCAATCATTGATAGCTACTAACATATAAGGAAGGGTAACATTATTAATGTGAAAAGAAATCCAAAGTGATAATTGTGAGAGAAATATGAAGATGTGATTAAGCAGACTTACCAATAAACATGCTGCAAGAGCCAGAAGGCCTGTGATCAGGCACAGTGGTTTCATCTTTATGATTACCTCTGAAAGTAAGCACAATGAATGGCTGATCAGCATTGCTGTAAAAAAGTACTCTTTGGAATGTATTCCAACTCTTTGTTTATGATGTAGTACAGGATAGTATGGTAGTATTTTAAGAAATTTGCCTAAATGTTATTTTGGAGCAATATTGGTAGGTTTTATAACATTGAACTATAAAACGGTGGAATTAGTTTTTGCTTTTGACTTGTAAATGGACACTGGAGGTAACGGCAAAGAGTTATTCTTAAAAGTGTTTTACTTATTGGAAGCCTTTATGACATAAGGTTTTTGCTTTCAGAAATAGCTACTTTGAAATGGTACTTATTTGGATTTGAACTCTTGGTATTATTAAATAATGGTTACATTACTTTATAGATTTCTGCAGACTTGTATTTGAGCTATTGATGTTTTCTCTAGATCATATGTTTTAAATTAAATTTCTTGGAACACCTAGAAAAAGGAAAGGAAAAGAATCACCCTGGTAGACATAGTTTAAAGAAAAATTGTCACATAATATTTTTAACAATATTCTACTAAGTTATTTTGCCCTATCATGAGCAATCTCTAACTAATTCCAAAAATTCATATACAAAGACCAGGGTAGAAAAAAGAGAGGTGTCCAGGTATTTTACTGTCAATAGGTTCTAAATTTAGAATATATTGCAAGGACATGAGAGCCTGAGTTCTGGGAAAGTAACTTTATGCACCTTTGTGCAGACTGGTTTTTCTGACAGTCAATTCTGACCATCAATTAAATGTGTTAGCTGAACAGTCTTAGTCTTAAAAGAATCCTAGGGACAAAATTTCAGTGAATATTTAATTACAGGTACATATGGTTATTTCTTTAAGCATCCTTTTTTCTATGACACATTTTAATACAAAGTTTTAAAAAAGCAAAGGCAAAACCAATAATAAAAATATACTGTAGAACAGTTGTCTCAGAGTTATATCTGATAGTATTCTTGTCATTATGAAGCACAAAAGTGTTAAGGTACATTATAGGAAAAAGTTGATTGTGTAAATGGATGGACTTGTCCCACGTGCCTAGCATGAATGCTTTATTGTGACATACAGAATTTCTCAAAATTCAATGCATTTTATGGCTTATCAGATTTCATATAAGTATATATTATTCCTTTGGTGAAAATCAATGTTCTATAAGAATCCCATCAAAATGATACCTTTGAAAGTCTGAGAAAAATTTGGTATTCAAAGTAAGAGTTCTTCAATTCATATTTCCACGTACCTACCTTTGTATGAGGATCCTTCTTAGTAGGGCTGATTAATCTGCTGGTCAAAATTATTCCTGCCAATTAGGTGACAAATGAAGGTGAGAAAGAACAAGAAATCTCAGCTCTTATATATATTACAGTAGATTTCTAGTGATGATAAAGGAAAGGCTAGTTAGAAGATAAAATAACTTGTGGGTTGATGTTCTTTAAACAGAAGATAGGAAAGTCGTTGTTGACAATTTTGCAATCTTTTTCTGCATGTTTTTTTTTCATTTCTGAGGTGCTTTGACCCATTCAATAATTGGTGTTTCCTGAGGAAACATGTCATACAATGAGTCACAATGTCTTTTTGTCTTAAAATAACTTGGGGTTTGTGGTGCACTATTACCTATTGTCTCTTTATTTTAAATAACAAGTGTAGCTGTTCTATTTCAAATAATTTTAATGGGTCATCTTTTGTTACATGTTACTATCACCATATTTCCTATTTTATCTAAGAGCTAACTACATTATGTGAGAAATAAAAAAAATCATAATTTTAAAATTGAACTCTAACACAGTCTAGGCACATTTTGGAGGAAAAAAAACAGAATTAGAATTAGAAGTCATTATTAAATAGATGTTACCAAATATCACATACAAGTACTCTGGCCAGTTATGGACAGGGTATATCAAATATATTGCTTGACTGTTTTGACCACTGTGCTATATCTTGTTGGTTTCACATTTCTATTCTTCTTTCAGTTGAAATAATGAAATTGTATTACTGTTTTATACTTGGACATTTGTACGTATCTGGTCCTATATATTCTTTTTCCAATTTATACAACATTGGCCTAATTTAGTAAATGTTTTTTAAAGATGAGAAAAATGAATTCTTGGATTAAGGTTTGATCTGAGATTGGAAAATAGCAAGAAAAAAAATCTAGTAGTGGAAGGAAAATAGTCAAGATTCATGCAGTTTTTCAATCTTAACTTTATTTTAATTTTCTGTGTCTGTAATTATGTCAATATATTTATATAAAAGATCCTTAAGTGGAAATTTTTTAGGGCATTTCCTTTTTCTAATGAAGAACTAAAACAGTAGTCTGAAATTGTCTTTAAAAAAGTCACATTGGTACTTGCTATTACTAACTTGAGAAATTAAACAAAAATATGATGCCATGAAGTTTTTGATTATGTGGAAAATTATACAGAGAGAGTTTTACTTTGAGATGGATATCTGTGGGAAAGCCACAGCTTTATGTTTTTGATGTACCCAGGCTTTGAGAAATAATAATGTAATCTCTGGTTCTTACAGATTGTTGTATAATAATGTAATAGCTATTATTTATTAAGCCTTTACCATATAGGATGTGGCAGGATAACTGAGTACTATTATCATCTTTGTTTTACAATGGATAATAATGAACCTATGTCTGCTCACTTCAAAACCTAAATAATGGGTTAACCAATATTCCACATTGCCTCCCAAATCTCAATAACCCTCATAAACTTAACCAACATCATATGTTATAGTATGCTGCAGAGATTAATCAAGTGCATTTATAGTCAGGTTATTTTACTTCAAAGCACACTACCAACATTTATTTGCTGGATAATATTGGACTAGTTATTTTACCTCATTGTGCCTCAATTCCTTTATTTGTAAAATGTGAATATTTCTAATTTTTGTGTCATGGAATTTAGTTATTCACCTTTGTTCACCTACTTATTCAACACTTATTGAATACCCACTGGGTGTCAGACATAATGCTAGTTGTTAAAGTCACAGGATATTTAAAGGTTTAGAGTTTTAAAAGTCTTTAAACACACTGAACCTGGGTGGCTCAGTTAGGTGACTGACTTTGGCTCAGGTCATGATCTTGCAGTTTGTGAGTTTGAGCCCCCTTTGGGCTCTGTGTTGACAGCTCAGAGCCTGGAGCCTGCTTTGGATTCTGTGTCTCCTCTCTCTATCCCGCCCCTGCTCATGCTCTGTGTCTCTCTGTTTCTCAATAATAAATAAACGTTAAAAAATAAAAAAAAAAAATCTTTTGGGAGTCATAGGTGGTATAGAAACAAAGAGGCCTACTTTGAGAGCTGATCTTAGTTTTAAATTACTGTACGTAATTTCATTTGCTTTGTTGCAATTCACCGTCTTAAAAATTTTAGTGACATAATTATGTGCAATAAAGTGTATTACTGGTTTGCTAATCTTAGGCCCTGATTAGTTACTGAACAATTATATGCACAAATAGTGAAGATGATTCTATCTCTAAATTAACATGGGAAGTTCAATAAACCACTTTCTTGTCTGAGAATGATTCAGTTTGTCAAAAGATGAGTATCTCTTCTTTCTTGTTTTGATGCCAACATATTTATTAGCCAAATGTTTTGACTCCAGGTGTGAACTCCACTGTAATGGATCATTGGCTCTGGAGGACATAGTATGAACATTGGCAAAACTGAAAAACAATTTCCCAATGGGTTGTCATCAGCAAAAAATAAAGCAACACAAGCCAACAGAAGCACACGTCTGTTAAGAAATAGAAATGGTCACTCCAGTTAATCTTCAATTAATTCATGGCTTTAATATATTCGGAATGAAAAATTTCTAGAATAGTACCAAAAAAGCTAAAGTTTCTGGCCATAGGAAGTTCAAGGTGACAGTGGAGTCACACTATTGTTAATGCAGAGCCTTATGTGACAGGCAGAAAATATTTTCCTGATATAATTAGATTTAGCAGAATTAAACTGTCATGCAGCAGTATATTTAAGTCCACCGTCCTGTTTTGCAGCTCTAGTAATAACTCTTTCTTTGAACGCCTTGGAATGCATATGAACTTGTTTTTTAAAGATTATTTAGAAGTAGATGATTTGGCTTCTGGATTAATAACACTTTAAATATGTATCATGCTTTTGAAATTACAGATTGCTTAAAATTTTTTTTTGTGGAAGTATTTGTTGTGTAGGATTGGTTAGAATTTGTTGTGTGGAATTAATAACAGACTTTGAAGATTGAAGAAAAGCTGTAACTGAATTGTACAGCATAGATACTGCATCAGATCCAGACCAGAAAGTTCTGGAAGTTTATTACAGACTTTTCCCTGAGCTTTCAGTAGCCAAAGTTCAAAGAAAAATTCAATCAGCTAAAAAATTCACAATGTCCCTAAAATAAAACACAGTAATTGCTTGAGAAGTACTTTTCCTTCCTACTCATTGCCTTGAGAAAATTTCTCATTTATTTTCAAGCAGGAAGCATATTATTCTATAGTAAATGTGAAAGTGATCTTTACAGTTTAACCAGAATATCTCCAGCATTGAATGTAAATAAGTATACAATTGCTGTTTAATTTGAATTTTGCTGGATTGGTAACTCCAATCATGTAACCAGATGAATTTAGTTCCCCTTACAAGATCTCTCTTGGGGAATATTCCTGGCTTCATCTTAATTTTCAAAATATATTTCCTTTTTCATATTTTACTTTTTAAAAATATGGTTGCATACAAGTTTTCTCTGTAAACTAGCTCCAATACTTAAAAAATTTTAACCTGTTATACATTTGTTAGTTAATAGATTATGTTCTATTTACTTTCTCATTTAATATGCCAAATAAGTTTAAGACCTAGTCAAGAAAAAATTAACATCCTGGTTTTTGAATACAGAAAGAGCCTCACAGAGGGGCAGAGTTATTACTAAGGCCATATCAGGCTTATTTAATAAGATTTATTTCTTTTTTGTTTGTTTTGTTTTCATAAAATTTATTCCTAAAAAGATTATTTATAGTCTACTTGTAAGAATTTGTTGCTTACAAAATAATTAAGGACTCTAAAAATAAAATATATTAAAACATGATGAAAGTTATATATGTCATAGCCTAAAAGCTAGTGCAAATGCCTTACATAACAATTTCATATTTTGGGGGAAAATGGTGTCTTGTTGAGCCCTGCATCAGGCTGTGGGCTCTGTGCTGACAAGGGGATTCTCCAGCTCTATCTGCCCCTCCCCCACTCACTAGCATGTGCACTTGCAGGCTCTCACCCTCTCTCTCAAAATAAATGAAGAAACTCCAATCTCCTGCAGTTAAAAAGGCAGAAAAAATTTGAGGGGCACACTCAGGACTCAATTATTAGAACAGCAGAGGTCCAGAGAAGGTTGAACTCTCAACTGAGACAGATCTGTAATATACAGCTCAGGGCCCTGATGAGGGGAAAATGGGACTCTGAGATATAGATTGACTTTTAGGTCTTTTGGTGTATCAGTTAACTTTTTCTGTGTAACAAACCACTGCAGAAACTTGAACGCTTAGCACAGCAACTGTTTAGTATTTCTTAAAAGTCTACATGTTTATTTAGTAGTTTTCTTGGTCTGGCTGGGCGTTATTGATCTTGTCTGGGCTTGCTTATGTGTCTCTGTTCAGCTGGTGAGTTGGGTGGGGGCTGGTGGGTCTAGGATGGCTATGGCTAGCACTGCTCAGTTGTTTTCCACATGTCTCTCCTATCCCTCTAGTGGTCTGGGCATGTTCTCATAGTGAAGTGAGAAATTCAGAAGAAAAGAAATGTGTAAATGTTTTTTTTCAGATCTCTTCCTTTCTCAAGTTTGGGTGATACAATGTTGTTCCAATGTCCAAAACATGCTAATGGTGAAGACTGAAGACAGTGCAAGAGCATACAACTGTTGGGCTTCTATAAAGGGAGTTGTGAAAAATTGGAGCTGTTAATTCAAGAAACATACTTATGTCCCCAACTTTCTGCCTCAGTTTTTAATTTTAAAGACTCTAAAATTGGGGTTAGTCCACAATAGGGTTTCTCAATCTAAACACTTGATATTTTGGGCCAGGTAATTCTTTGTTGTGGAGGACTGTCTTGTGCATCCCTGGATTCTACCCAGTAGATGCCAGTAGTCTCCCAGTTATAATGGCTAAAAATGTTCTAGACATTGCCAAGTGTCCTCTCAGGGACAAAATCACTCCCAATAGACAACCACTATTCTAGATGAAGAATAACTCCTGATTTCACCACTTAATTGACATATTCAGGTTTAGTTCTTTAACAGGTATTTTTGATTTTGCTTATGCTAAGTATTAGAGCTATATTGAGAGTGGATAGTGAGATGTGAAACTGGTGGAAGAAAGACCTACTAGAAAGCTGTTACAGTTATCCAGATGGCCTAGGGATGTGGCAATAA